CCCTCTAGTGGTCGAAGGCAGAATAGCAGCTTCCCATTAGTTTCTATGGACAGAAAAGAGCAGATACGGATCAAATGGTTTTCAATGCATTCCTATGGGAAATGCAGATTTGACCTGAGAACTTTTTGACTTGAGAACCGCCTTCCAATACGGATTAAGTTCTCAAGTCAAGACCCCACTGTATACACTAGTCTGTAATTTCAAGCAGCTGCAAGCAAAGCAATTTTTTTTAAAAAAAATCTTTTTCTTACAAATGTCTCAGAACGAGTTCTTGCAACCTGATGTTCCAGTAAATAAAAAAAGGGTGGACTATCTGGGGAACATGCATTTCTCTGCATTTCTACGGCATAGCTGAAAGGAATTTTAACCAGGAATTCAAAACTCTGCCAACCCTTGCCAGCCATAGATTGGACTGCTGGAGGCGGGGGGGGGGGTTCTGGAAAATGTCATCCAAAAGGTCACTATTTTCGAAGGTCTGCTACCTGCTTCTTCTCCTTCCAGACCATTTTCTGACCTGAAATGGCAGACATGGAAGAGTCCATTGAAGATGCTCTGCTTTTTGCTCTGGATGATCTCCGGGAGGAGAACTTCAAGAGGTTCAAGTACAAACTAGGCTTCCTCAAGTGGGAAGGGAAGGCTCACATCCCCCAGGGCAAGCTGGAGGACGCGAACACCATGGACACGGTGCAGCTCCTGCTGGAGGCCTATGGGATGGAGGGGGCCCGGGAGGTGGCGATCCACGTCCTCAAGGAGATCAACCTGCGAGATTCTGCCACCCGACTCCAGACATGGAAATATAACGGTAAGCAGTGACCTGGGAAAACGTGGCAATTTCTGCCTGCAGCACAGGCAGAAATTCAACAGATGAGCTTTCTCATCAACTAATTAGGGGCAAACCAGATGGGAAAAAAACAGGAATCTTTAGAAATGATTTGTAGATCTTATTTAATCATTAGGAAAGTATCTGAACTTCCTGTGGTTAACATTTAAGAAGGTATAACAGAGCCCATGTGTCTGGGAAAACGTGGCAATTTCTGCCTGCAGCACAGGCAGAAATTCAACAGATGAGCTTTCTCATCAACTAATTAGGGGCAAACCAGATGGGAAAAAAACAGGAATCTTTAGAAATGATTTGTAGATCTTATTTAATCATTAGGAAAGTATCTGAACTTCCTGTGGTTAACATTTAAGAAGGTATAACAGAGCCCATGTGTCATTTCTTTTAGCCAGATGAAAAAAAACTGGAATCTTTAGAAATTATTTATAGATCTTCTTTAATCATTAGAAAAGTATCTGAACTTCTTCTGGTTAACAGTTAAGAAGGTATAACAGAGCCCATGTGTCATTTCTTTTAAAAAGGAGCTTTAAGAGAGGGAGATTTAGAGAGCAGAAGCCACAAGAGAGAACGGGTGCCCCAAACATTCCCACTTTTCCGTTTAAAAAGGAGCTTTAACCAGGAATAATGAGTAGACATGGTCTAGAGGGGCGGGGTATAAATTTAATTAATTAATTAACTAATTAATTAACTAATTAACTAATTAATTAATTAATTAATTAAAGAGAGGGAGATTTAGAGAGCAGAAGCCACAAGAGAGAACGGGTGCCCCAAACATTCCCACTTTTCCTCGGTTCCAGATTTTCCTCTTTTAAGCAGATTTTATCCTCGCTAAGTAGAAAAGTGTATTTTGAGGTAGGTAAAAATTAACTATCCCCAAGGGCATCATCCACAGCATAAAAAACCCTGTGTGGGATGTGTGAAGGATTATTTCACTCGTAAATATAGGGACCACCTCGGTGGGAAGGTCTCCTCGCTAAGTAGAAAAGTGTATTTTGACCTCATGAGGATGAAAGCTGAATGGAGGTGATTTGGAGCAGAGGGTAGGTAAAAATTAACTATCCCCAAGGGCATCATCCCCAGCATAAAAAACCCTGTTGTGGAATGTGTGAGGGATTATTTCTTACATAAATATTCATCATAGATTTTTGTTGCGGCTGGTGAGCAAGAAGCCTCTTTCTTTCTGTGACAAATACTGGCTGATTTTGCAACAGGTTTGTTCACCGAAGCAGCTATAACAGATTTTTGTTGTGGCTGGTGAGCAAAAAGCCTCTTTCTTTCTTACTTTCTGTGACAAATACTGGCTGATTGTGCAACAGGTTTGTTCACCGAAGCAGCTAATGGAGTACCCCCACACAATGGCTGGGTGTGCAGCACAGTGAAGTGCTGATAATAGTGTTAGAGGGCATTAATTAAGTTGGGCTGGTTGGTGGGTTGATTGGTTGGTTGAGCACCACGATGGGATGGATTTGTTGGTCGGTTGGTTGGCTGAGCAAGCTTTTAGACTGCCTGAAACACGGGGTGGTTTACATACTTAAGCAAATCTACTAAACAACTAAAATAACAAAATAAAATAAAAAACAAAACAAAGCAAAGAACACATTAGTAAAATGTAATAAAACATACTGAATTAAGCTGAGGCTCCTATACTTTGGCCATCGAAAAACAAAACAAAGCAAAGAACAAATTAGTAGAATGTAATATAACATACTGAATTAAGCTGAGGCTCCAATTCTTTGGCCCTCTCATGAAAGGAGAAGACTCCCTGGAAAAGACCTTGATGTTGGGAAAGAGTGAAGGCAAGAGGAGGAGAAGGAGACAAAAGAGGACGAGATGGCTGGACAGCGTCACCAAAGCCACCAACATGATTTTGACCCAACTCCGGGAGGCCGTGGAAGACGTGCTCTGGTCCATGGGGTCACAAAGAGTCGGACACTACTTAAGAACTAAACAGCAACAAATGTAATAAAATTAGACAATAGCCTGTATATAAATGCATATAAAATACAAATTGGTTTACAAATGACTAAACAGCAACAAATGTAATAAAATTAGACAATAGCCTGTATATAAATGCATATAAAATACAAATTGGTTTACAAAAGCAAATTGTAAAGCTTATATATTAGATTGCTTTTGTCCAGCAGCGGCAGTCTCAAGAACATTCTTTGGGTAGTTATGTAGCGCCACATTTTCTGTAGTGAATGTTGATGGTAATTCTATGTGATCCCACTAGATTGCAAGAAGAATTACAAAAGGCACCTCCGCGAAACATTCTGGCCCATTCTTGAACTAGGCTCCAACCACGGCTCAACAGTGGGTCTCCCCCAAAGATACACAGAGCTGCTCCTCGTCAGGAACCCCCAACGTCCAGAGACAGCTCATGAGCTCCTGGGGGCAGAAAAGAAGCACAGGAAGATGGAGGTCGATCAAGAAGGAGGCTGCCAAAAATTGGGCCTGGAGGATTTATTTGATTCAGCTGCCGAGAAGAAAAGCTCCAGAACGGTCATTCTCGTTGGACCAGCTGGGGTGGGGAAAACGACCGCCATGCGGAAGCTGATGTTGGACTGGGCGTCTGGCCAGTTCTGGCAGGCAAAGTTTGAATATGCCTTCTACCTGTCTTGCAGGGCACTGAATGTTGGCAGCACCAAGGCCATGAGTCTGGTGGATCTGATGCTCAGCGGCTGCCCTCCTGGAACTCTCCTGGCCGAGGACATCTTGATGAACCAAGACAGCCTCCTCCTCATCCTTGATGGCTTTGATGAACTCAAACACCAGGATCTTCCGAGCGGTACGCAGAGCGCGAGCAACCCACACGAAAAGCAGGCCGCCGCTAGCTTGGTGACCGGCCTGCTTCGGAAAAAACTCCTCGCTCCGTGCCACCTCATTGTGACGACAAGACCTGTGGCCTTGGGTTCCCTCCTGCCCTGTCTCAGATCACCCCAGTTTGTAGAGGTGCTGGGATTTCAACCCGCCCAGAGGGAAGAATATTTCCACCGCTTCTTTCAGAACAAGGAGGAAGCCACCCGAGCCTTTGAACTTGTAAGGATAAATGAGACTCTTTTCAGGGTGTGCTTCCTCCCTGTTGTGTGCTGGGTTATCTGCTCCGTCCTCAGTGGGGGGCTCCAAAAACAGCCCCTTAAAGATATTCCAGAGATGGCAACATTCACCGACGTCTACTTGGGGCTCCTGGATTTCTTGGGGTGTCCTTCCAGGCTGAGTGATCTGAAAGGACTGTGTGGCTTAGCCAAGGATGGGGTGCTACGTCAGACAATGGTCTACAATGAAGAAGAACTGAAAGCACATGGCTTGGAGCCCTTTTCTGCAAGTAGAAGGCTTCTCCCTCAAGATGTCCACCTGCCAGGGATTTGCCAGTTCATCCACCTGGGTTTCCAGGAATTCTTTGCTGCCTTGTCCTACCTTCTAGACTCAGACAGGGAAGCAGGAACATCGTCCAAAGATTTGAAAGAGGTGTTTGGAACTAAGAAGGCACACAGCTGCAATGATAGGATGCTGGTGCGTTTCCTTTTTGGCCTCTCCAATACCAAGAGGCAGAGCATCCTGCAGAAAACATGGGGCTATCCGCTCACATCCAGGATAAGACTCTGCCAGGAGTTTTTGAGCTGGGTGGAGCAGGAGGCCAGGTGTCAGGCTTTCCGGAGCGGGGAGCCGCTGCTGGAATTGTGCCACTGCCTGTATGAGATGCACGACTCCCAGTTTGCCCAGAGCGTAATGGGACACATTTACAACATAGACCTTAGAGACCACCTCTTGACCAAACTCGATCTCGCAGCTCTTTCCTTCGGCCTCTCGGCTTCCGACTCTCTCCGTTCACTTCGGCTCTCCAGCTGCAAGTTGGGGCTGAAAGAGCTTGAGCAGCTCTCACCAGGATTGCTGAAGTCTTCCGAGATCCAGTAAGTACCTCGTAGAGATCCAGGAAGGATCGCCGCGGTCTCCTTGGGGGCTCCGTTCATGATGTGTAGTTGTATTTTGTCCGTGACGAGTGCTTGAGTTCCATCTTCTCTTCACCGTGCATAAACAATTCACCATACTTACCCAGCTGTGAGTCAACCCTTCTCTCCTCCGAAACCAAAAATGTATTTCTAGACGTCCTTAGCCTCCCTCTCTATCTTATGAGCTTTGGCTTTCTTGATTGGTGCCCCTGTTTGTCTGGGCTGCCCAGCTGCTCTTGTCCAGGTTGACCCTGGCCTTCCTTCCACTTTCTGCGCATGTGACTTTCCATGCTTCTACTTTTCAGCTCCTCGCTAAGCCTTCCATGCGAAGTGACATGTTTGGGGTAAACCTGAAGGAATTGTTAAATACATTTTTGTGCATAGAAATAAGTATTTATCAGAATCAGTGTTATAGAAAGAAGTAAGGCTAGAATTTATCCAGCTGAGTAAATTGTAACAGCTGAGAGAGCAATCCCTGGATTGGCTAATCCTGGGATAAAGCTAGCCAACCTAACACACACACACTGTGGGTTGTTGGTTAGTGTCGTCGTGGAGTGCTGTCGCCGTGGTGCTGTGCTGGAATATCCTGGAAGAAGCCGTGTCTTTGTGCTAATATTGGAAGAAGAACTCTGGCTACTGGACTGAATATATGGTATTTGACTGCTGAACTAATTTATAAGGACTTTGACTCTGATTTATGCATTGAACTCTGTGGAAACTGCTGTGTATGACTTTGGGACTGGAAACAAGGACTAAGCCGAACTTAGCGATATCACTTTGGGGGTCAACAGCTCCTAGATACGTCCAGCGAGCTAAGGGGATTCTGGGGGTGGTAGGCTTGGGTGAGGGGGAATCGTTATTTCTAGCTCTGATTGTCAGGATGGAAATACATGGAGCAGTTCAACGTACTTCAGTTCTGGACTAATCTTTGTATGCTATAACGCACGCCCCCCCCTTGCAAATTCCCAGGTTGAACCGTTGTGGGCTGACAGCTGTCGTATGCAGAGAACTTGTTTCCATTGTGGTGAATAATCTGAATCTGACCCATCTGAACCTGGGTGAAAATCCACTTGACGATTCCAGCATAATCCACTTGTGTGACAGACTGATAGGCCCCAGTGGCAAGCTACAGAGTCTCCGGTAAGTGGCTCATGCTTGCCCGTTGAGAAAATGAATGTTTTGGGTTCCCAATCCAGATGGGAATCAGATCCAGAAGTTGGATGCATGGAATTCCCCATGATCTGCTTGGTCCCATCCAACTTCTGCTAACTCTGTAACTTCTTCTTCCTGCTGCTCCTCTCCTCATGGATCAACTCCTCTAAAAATATAACCCAAGCTCCAGCAGTCAATTCTTAATGACAACCGAGGTTAAACTCCCAAAGGATGAATGGGCTTTTAAGGTGTCAGCCTGCTATCGTTGCACTTAGCACATAGGAAGGTCTTCTTCACACAAATCATAATTAAGCTGCACAAAACAATATATGCATGTACTTTGGATAAACATACAGAATAGTTTTGGCATCTTAAAGAGCAACTGAGAGGCTCAATACATGGGTTCCTTGGAGCACCGGCTCGTGCACTCTTAAAGACAGTGATCCAATGACAGGTTTGCTCGGGCGCACCAACCCACCACCAGAGTGGTCTTTTCCCTCCATAACTTTCTGAGCCCCCGTCAGTGGCTTCTTGTCTTTTTGGTGTGGGTAGCCTTGCTCTGGTTTGGATGGGTTCCCGTTGAGTGTGATCACCGGGATGGATCCAGAGCAAGCTTTCTGGTTTGAATTTGCCAATACCCTGAAGTGGTTTATAAGCAAGCCGCTTGGCAAATTAATCACTTCCCCTGCTCAACAGAGGGCAGGGGAAATGAGAACAAAATACTTGGACTGTATTGCATGTTAGGCAAGCTCTCCAGCAGGCCCATCTGAGTGTTATCAAAGGGTCCCTTGTGACACGGATATCATCATACTGTATGATGCCTTGCAGATGAGCACCGCCCCCTAGAGTCGAACACGACTGGACAAAAAATTGTCAAGGGGAACCTTTACCTTTACCTAGCCTTGCTCTGGTTTGGATGGGTACCCGTTGAGTGTGATCACCGGGACGGATCCAGAGCAAGCTTTCTGGTTTGAATTTGCCAATACCCTGAAGTGGTTTATAAGCAAGCCGCTTGGCAAATTAATCACTTCCCCTGCTCAACAGAGGGCAGGGGAAGTCCCGGCTGCAAAGGCTCACGTAAGCAGCTTTTACCACCTGTTTGCTTTCGGGAGAGGAGGAAGGGATCCTGGCTCCCTGGATTTAATGGGTTAACTCAGAAATGAGATGATACCCTTAACATGTCCTTCAAAGCATCATTCATTCCCTTAAGAGGAAACAGAGCATTTGGCTGCCCCAACAGAAGTTTAGCTCGGTCCACATTTAAGAAGTTGGACTGCGTTTGACTTTTCGTTTGCCTTTGTTTTGGTGAAAAAAGCGCGTCTTTGTTTTCATGGCTGGTCTGCTCCGTCAGGCCTAGAGAGTGAACCCTATTAAGTGGTGGAGGAGGGGGGGAGGGACATGCCTTTGCCTTCAGCATACAGTCTGGACCCCCCAAAAGTCAGCCAAGCGAGAGCATTCAGCCAGCAATGCATCCGTCAGCTCTTGAAGGAGAAGCCGGCTGGCCCTTCCAAGCATCCGGTTATTTTGCCTCCGGGCACGGTTTTGATGCCGATCTTAGTGATTTATTTTGCACACCTCAAGCAGTGTTCCTTTCGTCTCCATTTCCTTCCTGCAAACGGCAGCAAAACGTTGAGATGTTTCAGTCTTGAAGGCTTTCTGGGTGTGTTTTGTTGTCCCCCCCCCCTTCCTGGTATGTACCCTTCATGCTATATTACTTGATTGCACGTATGCGTATCTACCATCCTGGTATGCGCTACAAGCATATTCTTTTTGACACACACAGTGACATGAGCTGGAGGACTGGCCTCTTTCCATGCCTCAGAAATCCGGAGAGAGAAGCTCTCGGGATGTAGAAAAATGTACAGTAAACAGGCTTTATTCTGGTTTTAAAATGTTCAGTGCGTTTTCCACGCACAAACTTCCTCAGGATGTAGATTTTTAGAACTGGAACCTCACTAAAATGCTTCTGAAGAAGGCTGTGTGCCAAAAGGCGTTGAGCGTTTTCAAACCAGAATAAAGCCTGTTTACATTTTTTCTACATCCTGAGAGCTTCTCTCTCCTTCTGATTTCTGATACCCTCAGAGCTACCAGCTTCTTGCCTTTCTGCTCTCTCCACGCTCACCACTCTTCTGTCCTGTTATCCTTTCCATCTGTTTTCCATCTGCCAATCCTTCCTGACGATTTCCGCCTACACAGTATGAATTTTCCTCTGCTTTCACACAATGGCTCCCCACAATGATGTTGCACTGATCCTGGCAACTTTGGACTCCTCTCTTGGAACCTGGATCAGGGCCCTTCCCAGGCTTTCTCAACCCTCCCTGCGCTGTGTCGGAAACTGTGCCAATTTTCTTTGGATGAAGGGTTTTTAAAGTGTCTTTTCAACAAGTCTTATGCCTCTTACTCCTCGGGCTTGTCTTCCTGCCAACTTGAAGCTTTTTGTGGTTGTGCAGGACTGCCTTTAGCTCCTCAGAGGGAAGGCAGGATATGAGAGTAAGCAAAGCATAGCCCACACTCAAGCTCAGGTAAGGGACTCCTCACAGCGCACAAGAATAACTTCGGTTTAGCCTTTTCCTCCACTGTGTTTTCTGGAGGCAAAGCCGAGCCCTGGTTTCCAAGTTTTTGCTGTCCGGTACTATAAAGTTGCAAGCCTTTATACCCACAAACCCTGCATTTATTTTGTTTGTTTGTTTGTTTGTTTGTTTGATATCCTGCCTATCTGGTTGGTTAAGACCACTCTAGGCGGCTACATTGTGACAGGGCCATTCAGGGAACCACAACGAAGCGCTTTCATTTGAGAAGGAGGAAGACCATTACAGACGAGGAAGGAAGTGCAGGGGACCGAAGTTAAGATGGGGCAGGGGATGAGGGTGGAAAGTAAGGTCAAGGAAAAGGGGGTCAGTCACCCAGATCAAGGCTACAAAGAGGGTAGGGATACTCTGTGAAAAGTGCAGAGCCGGGCATCTAGTGTGGACAGCAGGGAGATAAAGTTTGCTGTTGTTGCTGTTGTCGTTGTACATGCCATCAAACTACTTCAGAAGGATCTCTAGAAAGTCCAGTCCTTAGGAGGGCTTAGGAGGGTATATGGCTTTCTTTTCCGAGTTCATCAAGCTTCCTCTTTTCTTGCGGTCTTCAATTTTACTTAGCATGGTGGCGTTTTCCAAGGAGCCCTGCCTTCATAGGATATGCCTAAACTGCGATTTAAAAAAAAAACAGATTCATTCAAAATGGGGAGTTTCATTCCAAATGGGGCGTTGCGGTAGTTACAGCTACCGTGGATTTCCAGAAAGAAAGATAAATGGGTCACAGATGAAGTCCAGCTGAAGCTCTCATCGCCTTTGACATACGGCGAGCCTCTTAGTGAGTAACCCTCCAAAAGAGTGCTTCGCTTTGGACTTATAAGAAAAGTTCATTGGAAAAGACAAGAACACTAGGACAGGTGGAAGGCAGGAGGAAAGGAGGAGATCTTAGACTGGACGCCACAGCTCTGAGTTTGCAAGACTTCAGCACAGCTGTTAATTATCAGACCACTTTTTGGGCCATGAATTCAGAGGGGGTGCCATGATTTGGAACAGACTTAAGGACACATAACACAGGAAGGGGTCCCCCCCCCATCTCCTTGTCTAGACTCTTAAGCTCATAACTTCTTTTTCTTTGCTGCATTAAAGGTGTTTCTTATGGTTTTACGATTGTGACACTCTTCTGCCCCACTTCTTCAGTATAATTAGCATCCAATGTCCTTTACATAGATTATTTTGGCAAGCCTCACAACCACCCTGCAGGGAAGGTCTATGCTGCAGCCTCCGCCTAGTGGTTATCTGACCATAGCTTGCCTTAAAGGGGCCAGCTGGAGCCCACAGCTGGGATGGGACTGGACGCCCAGGCCAACCTATCGCTCTGGTGCCTCTCCTTTTGCATTTATGATAGCCTTCATGACCTCTGGAGCCTCATGGTGCAGCGGCTAAAGTGCAGTACTGCAGCCAAAACTCTGCTCGTGACCTTGGTTCAACCTCAGGCAGCCAGCTTCAGGTTCACTCAGCCTTCCGAGATTGGTAAATTGAGTACCCAGATCATGGGGGTGGGGTGGGAAGGCACAATGTGTAGCCAGCAGAACTATATCGTAAACCACCCACAATGGGGTGGTACAGAGGCAGCATACTGTACTTTGCTTTATCTACGAGCACCCGTGTCAGATTACACAAGTTGGGTCTTTCCGGTGTCACTTCTCTTGCCTCCATTTCCAGGCTTCACCTCTGCAGCCTGACAGCGGCTGCCTGCAAGGATCTGGCCTCTGTCCTGGAAACGAGCGACAGCCTGCAGGATCTGGGCCTGGGAGACAACCGCCTGGGGGACGAAGGGGTTCGGCAGCTGTGCGCGGCGCTGAGGAAGCCTCACTGCAAACTCCAGAAGTTCTCGTAAGTGCGCCAGGCGGCTCCCTCTCCGTTTTGAGCCCTGACGGTTACCATTTAGTTAAAGTAATCCATATCACCCTTTTACATCTTCCGAGTGTTTTGGAAACTCTGTGAGGGGAGAGCCGAGACGAGAACCATAATTCTTTTCTTTCTTTCTTTCTTTCTTTCTTACATCTTCGGAGTGCTTTGGAAACTCTGTGAGGGGGGAGCCGAGACGAGAACCATAATTCTTTTTCTTTCATTCTTTCGAGCCCTAAAACTCTCGGAATCCCAGAGCCAGTGTGGCCGCTGTGGGATTCTGGGAGTTTTGTTCCAAGCAAACAGCAAGATTTCCCATCTCTTACCATTTATCCCCATTTCACAGATGGGGAAGTTGTGGTTGAGAAGCAGAGGCTCCTCCATGGCCGTTAAACAAACTGTGGGCTTACAAGGTCCTTCTGGCATCTCTCCCTGCAGACGGGGGCATTTCGCTGGGCACAAAGCCCATCATTCCTTGTGCTCCTGGGCAGAGTTACAGGACACTAAAGAAATGGTGCGCTTTTCTGCAGCTGCTGCTGCCATCCGCTTCTGTGCTTCCATGTAATGCATCGCACAAAAGCATCAAAACATCCGCTGGCTGAATGTTTGCAACCCTGGGCCTTCCAGCTCAAGAGAGTTGCCTGGTAAATCCCAGAACTCTTCATCCGAGACAGCCAGAGATTTGTACTTCAAAAACGATATATTCCAAGCTTGGCCCAGAATCGTTTCCGGAGGAGCTCCCATCAGCACAGATCGGCAGAAATTCTTCTCCTTTTTTTTTTTTTTTTGCATCTCTGAATTGAAGTTCTTTTCCCTTCTCCTTTCTAATTCCGCTGGAGATTTCTTTTTCCCCTTATTTCTTTACAATATTTATATGCTGCCTTTCTCCTTCCTTTCTTACAGAGTGTCAATGAGAGGTCTAAACCAAAACACCAGGAGAAAACTGGAGTCCGTCCTTACTAAACATCCCCAGATGTCCCTGATCTCCTATTATCCACCAGACTTCCCAGCCTTTCCAAGCCATGAGAAATACATGAAGGTCAACATGTTCTTAATTACCACTGAGATGCCTGAAACATGAAGAGATGGCTCTCAGAAGCGAAACTGATACCCGTCCACGCCACCCGGAAGAAGGTCCAAAATAGCTTTTATATTTTGTTATCTGCCCTGATGCAACTTACGTTTGAAACTGTGGGTTTTCCCTTGAATCTTCTGGGGTCCAGAGGCAGGCAGGTGAACTTTTTGATTTCTGTCTTGTTTTGCTGCCTCTTTTTATTTCGAGAAAAATAAATAAAATGTCTTTAGGGTCTTCCCTAAGTAAAAAATGGCCCATGGAACCAGATGAACAAGGAAAACAATTTCCACCCTATCTGTTAGTTTCAATGTTCCACCAACAGACACAGCGTGAGGACAATGTGGCTTGTTTTGGCAAGCCATTTCCGCTTTAGCAATTCTACCAGAGAATAAACCATCCCGGCTGGATAAACTCCTCCTGTTTGTTCACGATGCATTTGGTCTCTTCGAGGAAACCCTCCACCAGAGGCCCAGGTTTTTCTGTGTCTAGGCATAGTCTGAAGGCAACTCTTCTGAGCTTCTTTGCTTAGAAAAGAGCATCAGCTGGGAATGTGTGCATCCCGCTTTCTACTCCCTCTGCTTCGATTTGGGATTTGGGTGGGGTGGGGGACTTCCAGATAGAAGGTTCCTTCTGCTAAAGCACTGAAGGCATTACGTAGCAGTTGACTTGTCCCATCAACTCTCTTGGCTTATGGAGGCTCTAACTGGTTTTTTGAGTGAGGTGAAATCTTCCAGCAGCTGCTTGACCAGTGCCTCTTTCAATGACTTTTACACAACCAAAAAGGGATGTGAATCCAAGTTTACTAGAGTCCTGGTCTGATGTTTCACCCACAATGGTTCCCACATTACTGCTACTCCATCTCTCTCTCTCTCTCTCTCTCTCTCTCTCTGTGTCTCCCTTCTTTCCTCGCTTTTCTTCCTTCCTTCCTTGCTTGCTTCTTTTTCTTTCTTTCTTTCTTTCTTTCTTTCTTTCTTTCTTTCTTTCTTTCTTTNTTTCTTTCTTTCTTTTTCTTTCTTTCTTTCCGCTCAGAGATTTTTCCCTGTTGCAAAACAGAGGAATGCTGTATGTTGAAGGTAGCCTTCCTCCGGGCCTCACATGCAACTCTGAAAACGAGGACTGGCCGGATGGCACAAGGCCAGGCTTCAGTCCAGGGGGCCCTTTCCATGACCCCCCAGCCCTTCGACCGGCCACACCATCAGACCAGAAGGTCACTTAGGGTTTTTTAAAACGGAGGAGGCGAGGGTCAAACGGGCACCTTTGAGGCTTTGGGACATGCCCGTCTCTGTGGGTTTTGGGACCGAAAACAGCAGCAGCAAAAGGAATTGGCCATGCAATCATGCGTGTGTGTGTGCGTGTGTGTCCCCTGCGCTGAGATTTTTCTCCCACACAGAGCTGGATGGTTTTGCCGCTCCCTGGCTGGAGGCAGCCTCTCTTCAGGCCTCCAACTCCATCGTCTCCGGGTCTGTTCGCGTGGATTCGGTCCTAAGAGCAGCCGCTGTGGCCGTCCACTTTTCCGTGCACACATCCACACCCTGATCCCCACAGTCCAGCAGTTTTCTCCCCCTGGCGGGTTGGGCGGCCTTCCTTCCTCCACGGCTCCCAGGTAAGCCCATCGTCCGCAATATCCTTGGGTCTTCCTGGCAGAAGAGAACCACTGCTCGTTTTCCAGGCCACGGTGGCCACGCAGGGCGACCCCCAGGGGTGGGGGGTACGTGGACGTCCAAGGCGCAACTGGGGAGCCCCGGCTGAGGTTTCGGGGCCGGCAACCTTCCCCTCTCGTCGGAGTGACAGGCGTGCGGCTGCGTGCTAGGCCACCACCGGGACCCCCTGTTTCTGCCCAGTGCCCTGGGGGAGAGGGAGGGGGTGCAGGACCAGACATTCCCCCCACCCGCTTTCCTTTTGCAAGGCAGCCCAGGCTTGGAAGTGGGGGGGGGCTTTGTTGTCTCCTCCAGGGACCCCTTCTCTCAGGTGGGGGGGGGACAAGCTGCTGCCCCTCCTCTCCTGGGTGGCCCCTTCCCCAGCAACGGAGGGGCGGGGAGATCCCCCTTTTGGGGGGAGGGAGGGCTGGCCATGCCCCCCCATCCCACCCCTCCTTCCCTCTGCTGCTGCTTGGGGCTCGTTCTCCCCCAGCTTCGAGGGCTCTTCCTCGCTGGCAGGGGAG